CCAGTTTTCTTTGTAAGGAATGGTATCTGTTTCATTTCACATACCAGCTTCTCCCATTTAGAAGATATGCAGTGAAACTTTGGTATGAATGTTCCTCATAATTGAATTTCGTATTACAGAGTTCACATTTTGTCATACTTTATAACACCCCCATTATTTAGAATGAAAGCTGTTCCATTACAAAAAAGCATCAAAGAAATGAATTCTACGTTGAGAATGAAATGTTGAAAGAATTCAAAATAAAAAAAAGACTGCTATTTCACACTCAGCTAAAAATGTGGTTTTCTTTGTTACACGATCTCAATTTGTTAGAAAAAAGACCTTTGTTCCAAGACGAAGAAGAGTGGTATGATTTTGCATGAAGAATAAATTAACTCTTACCTTTTGCCCAATTATTTTAGTTTGAAACTCGAAGCCATTATGTATTTGTTTTTACTAATGGAAGTCATTCTGCTCCGGAATTATTTCCAGAGCTGAGTATAACGTCATTATCTGCGCGATAGCTTGAAATGATTTTTTTTCTAATTAGTAGAATGGCCAAATGAGTTACACCACTTCACTTCATTGCACCTGCTTCATTTGCGCAACAAAAGATTCTGTGATTATTCTATCCGAAAGTAAGTCTTTAGAACTAGTTTTTATACTGCCAAAAGCGTTTTTGTGAAATTTTATTATAGCGACTAAAATATCAATTGAAACGTTATTCAAACTCTGAACTATATTAACTGAATCTGTTGAAACATTAATAAAGTTAGAACACCTTTCTTTGTGCATTAATACCCTTATAGTAGTTCCACTGGAAACTATGAATCGTTTAATATTGTTCTATACAAATCAATTATAATTATGAACCCTTTTTGTAATGTGAAATGCGGAATTTTAATTGTGAATTTTAATTTAATTTGAATGCATGCTTTTATTTAAATAAACCTACTGCCAAAGATAGAAATGTACACTGATTTTGCTATTAAAAGTACTGAATAATTTTCGTTAATAACATTTTCAGGCACTTTTATATTCAGACTTTATTAGTACATTTATGTAAAAATTATCTGCGACAAAATACGGCTGATGTGATAAAAAATCCGAATTAAATTTTGCATACAAATCTCAATCACGAAAAACTAGTTTCGAAGTTTTTGGCATTAAATGTCATTTTTTCTGTCCATTTCAAAAATAAAAATGACAGATTTCAGGATTCATACTTGTTGACAACCACTATAGTCTATTAAATATAAATTTTAAACTAAATAATAATTTTAATATTATTGTAATTCCCGTATTTCGCTTTCAGACCTATAAGTCGATAAATAATTACAACTAGAAGAAAAGGATATTGTAGAATTTTGCTGTAAGTGCTTATTTTCGATACAGCACAGCTGTAATGGACTCTATTCACAGTGCGCCGAACTTATGGTGTGATGCGAGATTTCGGGTAACAGAATTTTTGGCTATTTCTTCATTGAGCGGAACCTCAAAGCTCATCTCGATATGTTGAAAAATGACATTTTATTTCAACCCTGGTCGAAAATAAGGACATACCCTTTCTTCCAGCAAGACGAAGAACCATGGCATTACGGTCCTAAAGGACGCTAATAACTGGACCAGCTCTAGATCCTGTAAATTGGATCGATCAAAATGGTTCAGTGGAACAGCTATCCCGTTACCAGAGTTCACACCACTGAATTTGTATTGAATTCTTAAAGCCCAAATATGTGAGGCTAATTAAAATCGATTGTGTGCAAGACTAAAATCCATAATATAAACCATCTTAAAAAAGAATCCTATTAGTTTGCAAACAATTAAGAGAACTAAAATTGTCTAGCGCCACTATAGAGGCATTAGGACTTTTTTTTTTTGGAAGCAGGAAAGATGAAAAATTAACAACGTTTTCGCCGGGAATCGAACCACGGAACTCTGGCCCAGCTTGCAGAACCACTACACCACGAAGGTACGCTAGGAAAGCCTGGAAAAACACCTTATACCTTACAGTTTCAAAATATAGAAATTTATGTAGAAACGTATACAAGTAAACAAGTTTGAAAGTTCTTTATTGAATTTAAGAAAATAGAGAATTTGTTAGAGAAATGGTTATGCTCTAGAAATATTTCGGCTTTAAGAATTCAAATATTCAGAAACTCCATTTACAGTCTTTCATTTATTTTCCTCTCTAAAGACTTCAAACAAGACGAACAAGTTCTGAAGGACTAATAAGTAATTTTATATACAAGTAATATATAATAGACAGGTTAAATATTGTTACTTTTTTTTTCTTTTCTGACACCAGTTGTTACGTTATTTTCTTTCTTCACGTTCGTACGGGGTTCGTGTGGATTTGGAGTAAATAATAAGACTTTTTAATGAAATATCAAAACACGCTTTATTTAGCCAATATTAATCAAGACAGCTCCAAAATTACGTTTTACAGTCGTCGAAGATCTACCATGTCATCTGATTGTGTCGCTGACACAATCAGCGACACTGCCTCCAGGTTATCAGGCTATACCGGTGGAGACACCTTCACTGCAAAGCACTAGAGTACAGCTTCCCGACTCGGTTCGGGCGTTCTCGGAACTCCACGTACTCTCGAGACTCTCCACGCTGCAACTCGCGATGCACTCGACGACACACAGAGCAGGGCTCCCGAATTTTGGGTTCAGTCGTTCCCGGAGCTCAACACGCTCTCTCGACGATGCACTAACTGCGATACACTAAGAGACTCTTTCGATGCACTCGACGACCCCCTCCGCACTCGCTGCCCCGGCTGTCAACACGATCGACTCCGCAGGGATTGACTAACTAGACGAAACACCAACTCGATACTAATTAACTCGCACTCTATGCGAGGCACTCTCTTTCGCCCTCTCGACGAGGCACACTCTCTGACTGCGGATCATCAGGGTTTATATAGTTTTCGGCTTGTGTTCGAGAACATTCTGGACTAAACCGGTAAGAATTCGTTCCAGAAGGTTCTCCAACCGTCCATGGTATATCGCCAATTTTGTCGCCAAATGGGCGATTTCTCGCCAAATGTGCCAACCCTGCCTTCCCTTACCATTTAATGGCAACTCTAAACCTGCTTTGCTGGAAAGCTATGCCCCCGCGCCTGTGCATTTCTTAACAATATGTAATAAGCTATACAAATAAGTACTTTCTAGAGCAGTGTTTCCCAAACGTTTGACATATGTGCACCCCTTCTATAATTTACGTAACTCTGAGTACCCCTTGTCCAAAAAAATGGATGTATTTTAATAACAATCAAAATATATTTATTTTTCCTTTTTGGGACATACTGAATATAATAAGAAAAGGGAAATAAAATCATGATAAAATATAAAAACAAAAGTTATATTAAAAATAACATTCACTCAGTTTAATGAGAAGAAGGAAATTGTTTGTGCTGAGATAAGAGATCGTCATAATTTGGTTCCCTGGTTGTTAATTTTGATCTGAGATGCGGCTCCACGTCTAATCGTCTGTTCCTTTTTTCTACTTAATGTCTGCAAATACTGAAAAAGCAACTTTACATAAATATGAAGTTGGAAAAGGTTGCATATGTAACCAGATTGATGTTAAAGTATACTTCTTATTTTTTTTTTTTTTTTTTTTTTTTTTTTCAAGAATCCATCTGAAGCCAATTTCAACAATTGCCCTTTTTCCGTATGCAACAAGTCTTCTGGCATGGATGTTGTGTTAATGTTAAACAGTTATCTTATCCATTCAATATTTTTGTGTAAATCAGGGAAATACTTTTTTACGCCACTCTCCATATGCTGTGTTATGTATTTCATAGTATAAGCATCAATTTTAGTATTCGAACTTCTTATAAACTCATAAAGTAAGGAAAACGAGTCTACTTCTCCATCACCAACATTCGTCTGCCGGAAATTTAGTTTTGCGATGGTAGATTTTGCTTTATCTTGGACATGAAGCAATGGAATTTCTTTGCATTGTACGATAAGTTGAGGCAATTTAAAGCAGAGAATATATCAGCTAAGTATGCTAGCTTACAACGTGTCCAATCATGTGAACAATTTCTCAACTCAAATCTATCATTAGGAAAGCATTGAAGCTGATGTCTAATTTCAAACAATCGATTTAGAGTTTTCACTCGAGATAGCCAACGGACCTCGGTATGAAAAACAAACTGGGTATAGCTAGTTCTGTCTAAAGTTGGGTTCCAATTCTAAATATTCACATATTTCCAAAAAAGACTCGAGCACTCAAAGAAAAGTTTTTAATGTAGTTAACAATTTTCACGCTTTCATCCAGAAATTTCTATAGATCAGCAGGCATCTTAAGTGTTGCCAAAGTATCTCTGTGTGTGCAACAATGTGTAGACTAGACATTTGGGGAAACATTTTTAATTCTTGCAAAGAGTCTTTTATTCCGACCATAATAATGATTTTATTCCGGCTTGAGGCCGATTTCTGACCATAATTAATTTTCGATCATACGTTTTGCTCCATCTATGCTTATTCCAACACATTTATTTTACTCAATTTTGTTCTCTTGCATAAATTTATTCATAACATTAAAGATATCTGCTCCTGTTGTGTGACCTAACAAAGGCTGGCAAAATAAAAAGTCCTTATGCATTGTTTTGATTATTTTCGTATTTAACAAACGTCATAAGATTTTCAAAATTCGCAATATCAGTGGACCCATCGACTTGCAGTGCATAGACACTGAGAAATATCAGATAACAACATATATTTCATATTATTAGACATGAAGATGATTCGTCTATGAACTGTATTACTTTAGAGAGAAACTTCGCTCTATCTCCTATTAGTACTTCTGCCATTATCTTGGCTGCAGGCTTGATTAAAATTTCGCCAATGGTTTCCGCTGCATTTCACAATTAAAACAAACACCCTATACGAATATTCTAGTATTTTTTGGTTGTCACCTCCTGTCAAACCCCGCATTACTTTTCGAGACTGATTTAAATCCTTAAGTTTATTTTTAAAAAAATAATCTATAGGTTTATTTTTTTACTAATTATGGTTTGTCTCAAAATGGCGCTTTAAGATGGATGGTTTCAATCTTTCGTTTGCTAAATTTTCAAAACAAATGACGCAAAGTTGAATAGGCTCATTTTCATCTCTAGTCCATGAGAATCCAAATTTAAGATATTCTTTCTCGTACTTGCGAGTTTTTCTTGCTTTTTTCTCAGTAGGTTCATTCAGCATTAAAGCTGATTCATCGTTAATTTCATTATTTCCTATTAGTTGACTGCTACTATAATCATTGCTTTCTTTCGGTGTAACATTTCCAGATTTCAACCAGCAATCCATAACCTATGTTAGGGATAAAATATATATTTTATAAAAATAGTCGAAGTCAGTGGGCACATAACGAACATTTCCTATAAGAAAAATTGCACAAAAGTTAAAAATACGCGGGCGCCTGAAGAAGCCACTAATTATTAACAAAGTAAATTGTCTGTAACTGTGGTATATTTCAGCCGTCTCACATCGGACCATCTCACGCCTCGCAAGACTACTCGTAGTGATAACTCGTAGTGCGAGGCAACTCTGCGATGGTTAATTGGCCTTTCAGATTAGTACCGCCCCACACAAATTCAATCTAAAATATGGCGACACCACAGAGCAAGGGCATACAAGGCAGTACCAGTACGGTCCCTGCCGAGCCTTACTCTGTCCCGAGAGCCCTCAGGCCTTCTGTGAAGTCTGTTTTATGCCTCCGCGTTTGAGAATGCTTAGGTACAGATCCCAACCAGTACTTCCTAGGCGTTTGCCTGAGTCAACCCTCGGGAGGAGGCTCACAAAACTGCTTCACTCATGAGAACGTAGAAAGAATCGCAGCTTAGTACGGTGCAGTGCATATCCCCACCAAACTCCGCTACAACGCGTACCCTACAAAACTTTTCCCGTACTCCTGGGGATACGCGTACCACGATTTCGGAAACGCTGCCTTAGGGGTACGGAAGAAAGAGACATTTAAATCTAGGCCTTTTTGGGCGTTTGTGTACGTTTGAATGAAATGCCGTCTCGGGTGTTTTGGCCTTCAAAGGGTTAACAAAATATATTCCTTGAGACCCGTAACAGCTTTATTGCGTTTATATGAAGGTAAATTAATCAGAAGTAGTATTGATTTACTTCGCTTTAGTGTATAATAAGGACCATAGCAATAATCATTAGCGCTTAAACAATACATATTTTACACTTAATTGTACATAAGAATACATAAATACCCTAGGTAATAAGCGCGGCATTAAGCCAGAAAAGCACTAAGGCACTATGACGATCAGATTTTGCGGCGTTTCTTTGGAAACTTCATAAGCAAAAATTTTCACATGTAATATCATGCTTCAGTGTTTAAGTTTTTAAGTGAATATAAAGAATAATTTAACCCATTAAAGACCGTTCGTTTGGCTTGAAGCTATACTCTTAAAGAAAGATGATCTACTAACACAATCAGTATATTCATATAAAGAAAATTCGAACAATTTAAGGGATTCCTTTGCATTCACAAGTCTGTTCAATTAAGAGTTAGTAAAAGTATTATTTAGCACGTTGTCTACCACCCCAAAATCCGGTAAAATACTCTGTCGAGCCATTTTTTAATTCTAGAGATTTCTTGTCCCATTTCTTGTCCCATCTTGTCCCATAAAAATGAGTTTATTTTCACTGTTTTCGGCGTGATTTACCGGTGATTCGCGAGGCCCTAGATCCATTTTTTTTTGTCAGGACGGGCATGTGCATCACCAGTGATTGAAACATCTTATCGTTCTCTTTTCTTATGTGGCTTTGAACTTTATGTTGCATGAAATTTATATTATAATTTAACTTTTCAATTCCTGATATTCATTTTAGACAATCCTGTAAAATGTTTAAAAACTATTTATTTTGTAATTGTACTTTTCTTTTTATTTTAAGAATTTTTCTTGGTGAAAATTCTTAGAGATGTATACTGAGCCTTGCAGTAAAAAATCGTGTCCACTGGAAAAATATTAAATATTATTCTAGCAAAATATATGTTAAAATTGTGTTGCAGTTTATCGAAAAATACCTTCCAAAAGCCAGAAACCAAGAATATTAAGAATATTAAGCAACTTTGAGAGGCCGTGGAAATAATTTTAACCGCTTAAATCTGTGTATTTGTAATGCACCGGTGACTCACACGGCTTCATACAATACAAAACCTGTGAGTCACATTGGATGCACAGGTCGAAAGTAAGGTTGATATGAATCATCGGACATGCACATGGACATCAAGGTGTTATACATTTTAAATAGACATAGTCCTAGTATTTCAGATGGATCAATAATTCGTTTATAGGTCTAATAGGGCATGAAGGACTTTGAGTTAATTCTACACAATTAGAATCCTATAATATTCGTGGAGATGTTGAGAATAGATAATTCATAGGCATAAATCTTAGTCCCTGTCTTTATTATGTCATATTCTGTACAATGTAGTCACGTATGTACACCATACATCCCAAAATGTAAGATGTTTTCGTAAAATATCAAGATAAACTGAATATTCCTTTCAATTGTTGCGAATACGCTTAATCAAGTTCAAGATTTTCATCAAGTGTTACAATCATTTATGTTTTCGAAAAGTGTTGGTTTACTTTTCAAAAAGAACTTTTCGACAGGTTTTTCAAACAATGACAGAAATGTGTTTTCTCATAATTTAAAAGGAAGTCCAGACTGCACTTTCTGTAATATTTCTCCACTGTTCATTAATTAAAATTATCTCCAAAGGATCGTTTGCAATTGGTGCTCCTCTCAGTTCCATGTTTTCGTTTTCATTTTTTTCTTTCTTAACAATGGATATGCTTTTACCTTTTATGGAATCATTTTATATATAGTACGTAAGAATTATATAAAATTACGTTAATATCATATTGGAAGAAAATATTACTTTTCAAATACTATCAGGTTCAGTGTTCCGCCTTACTTGCATTGGGAACATGCAAAGACCAGACTCGGAACAGGGAGCTTACTAAAGCTATGTTCAATAAATGTGGGAAGTATACAAGATACACAGGAAGGGTATACGAAACCCTTTATTTTTCACTCTTTACAATAATTTCCGGACTTCGGACAGAGAACAACCACTTGTGGTCTGAACGTAAGAATATAAAAAATATTAACTAAACTCTAACTTAACTTTGGAATAATAAGCAAGGGCCTACGTGGAAAATTGGCCGTATATTAACAGGAAGCCGTATGTAGTACAGAGAACTGTTAACACTACAATACGTTTAAAATTATCAAAAGGATTAAACCTCTGGCCTGGAAGGCAACCAGCAACCGAGTGAAAATGCTAAGGCAAGCGGCCTGCTTCGACTAACTCCTTCCTCTCTCTTGCTTGGCAAAAAGCCACAACTTAAGTACTTGGCGTTCGCCAGACAAATTTGCATAAATAAGTTAAAGCTTTTAATTCTGGCCGGAAGTAGTAAATAAGAAGTGATAGTAAAGATTTAAAATAAAATAAATGTTAGTAAAACTTAAGATCCTTACAATACCTGTGTAGTGATGCTATATACTTTCTTTTTAAATTTAAGTGAATTATGGTTTTTAAAAACTGAATTCAAGTGCTGTCATAAGCAAAATCCACAATATTATATGTCTCATTTTCATAAGAAATACATTTTTAGTACTGCGCAATCACTGAACTAGAGGACTGTTGGATAAATTCCTTAACCCTCTAAGCGGCAAGGCCGTATATATACAGCCTAGAATACTTTTGTGATGTCTGTAAGAACGTATATATACGTTCATATTAAAAATATGTCAAAGAAATTAAGGCAACACATCAAAAGTGCACAAATCCAGGTATGTAACACCTGGAGGAGGTTTTACATTAAAATCAAAAAAATAATTTGTTCTCATGGTAGTTTGGGGAAATTAGTGCTTTCTTAGCGAAAACCCTGGTCGCTCAGTATAAGTTCCAATAACCTTGAGGTTGTGGAAAGTTCGCCTACTTGTAAAGTATTATCTACAAATTAATAATTTTATTATTAACTCGGAAAAAGATAAACTTTTCTGAATTTTGAGCAGCACTTAGGTATTTTTATATCCGTTTACAGACCTATGATGAAATTCGAATATACAGCACAAGATCGAGAAATCAATTTAAAAATAATTTATTCCTCAGAATAGGAAAAGGTGAAGATGTAAAACGACAAGATTTTGCGAATGGTAACATCATAAAATGTTACGACAAGAAGGAATATCTTAATTCAAAAGCTCTTTTCATTTATTAATAAATAAATAAAGGTTGTTTTTAAAAGATTTATTTTACAAAACAGCCGAAAGCAGGTTTCTTAATTCATTATTTCCTAGTTTGCTCAACTTGATCGATCCAGACAGATAAGAAGTAAGTTTGTTTAAAGAAATAAGAAAGATAAGTAATAGAGAGTTAAAAGACATTTACATAAAAATAAGATTTAATTTTAAATACAGAGGTATATCATAAAATGTCGACGAAATGCTAAAAATTTGATGCAAGTGAAGGTACGTTTTATCAATTAGTTTCGAAGTCGATTGTCAATTACTTTTGACATTTATAAATATCACAACTTTTTCAGTGGCTTCTAAAGTAGGAGTAGATGAAGCCTGTATGAATACGTGACAACAGTCGAATTTGGTTATACGTGGTACATGGGGTATCATAAAGTTCCAAATCAGCTGTAAAATATACAGCACGTAAGATTTAAATAACCTATATCTCAAGACACAGATATAAGATATTAAAAATCGTTCATATTGATAAAATTTCTTATGATTTTTGTAGGGTAATCAAAATAGTAACATCTAATAACAACAAAAGTATACAAACTGATAAAGAATTACATGGGAGTTATGGAAGTTCTAAAATTTAAAGGTAAACATAAAATACTAAATATCCTACTTCGCAAAATGTCGCCCTTTTTACCTTTTGTATAAAGTTAAGTAATTATTGGAATCACGAAAAATCTCGGGTATCATATTTCAACGAAAATATCCGTCTTGACCACTATTAAATGCAATTTAACGATGTTTTTGCGTGACATCCCTACGTAAGAACAGAATACAGGATTCTTATAAAAACGAATTATAAAATGGATTCAGAAGACATTTTATGTAACGTCTGGTTAGAAATGCATTGGTTAGAAAGAGGGTAGGTGAACTCTCCTGCGGCCCATACACACTGAACCTACGCCTGCAGTTAGTTCGGAGCAATTTCCTATGACTCACGGTTGTGGTTTTGCACTTTTGGCCTATACCCACGACACTCTAGTTTCAAACCTCTCACATACTCAAATGTTCACGCCGTC